TTATTTCAGGTTCAAAGTTAACTTCCGCCCAGATTCCTAATAGTTCTTTTAAAAAGGCATCCGAAGTTGTTATTGTCGATAAGGTGTCTCTAACGTTGAGGTTGTAGGTCAGTTTTGGATATCAATGGCATTCTGACGTAGCAAATTGAAAAAACACAACATTACCAGTTTTGTAGCCTTTAACAGAAGTGTTAATCAAGCTGATTCAAGTGACCCTGACTGTAGACGGCTGTAGATGAGGTAGAAACTAACCATTGACGCATAGCCTGCGAACAGACTCCTGGCGAGGACGGAAAAAAAAAAGAATTCGGCGAGCGCGAAACAGAAGCCTGTTCGCAGGCTATTGGCGCATGGTGATGAAACAAAACCAAACTCCAAATCAAGTGCTCAACTGGACGAGGCGGAAAAAAAGAAGAGTTCTAAGGTCGGAGTATTAAGATATATTTTAGTTTGCATAACAAGCGTTTTCTTTCGTTAATTACCGAGTAAAAGACTCATACCTTCGTAATTTTTCGAAATCCCCGCCACATCGTTCTCCATGTTTTTATTTGCGTGTACGTATGACGCATGAGCATGAATAGATGGTTACTGACCAAAACCGCGTGGGCTCTGTCATAATGGTGAAAGAGAAAGTAGCTTTCTGCCCATTCGGATTTGAATTTTTAATTTGAACAGTGCTTGAATCATGTTGTCAGACAAGGAGAAAGAAGGGTGCAAAACCATCCTGAACAAACTTCCTCAACAGGATTTGATAACCCTTACCGATACAGTTACCAACCGCTTGGTTTCACCAGAAAATGCCAGTGGTAAGATTAATTATTTGTACATAACAGTACATAAGCACACTTGTTCTTCTTTCAATATGTCTCGGAGTTACTTGCAGCTTGGGTAGGCCATCTTCAAGCTTCTTTTTGTATACTAGGTTGCAGCAGTGAAATGGATTTCATCACCAGATATTTCTAAGTTTTAAAAAGACTCTGTCCCCCCGATTAGGGGGCAGTACTTAGCCAATGTTTGTTTATACAGCTGTTTTTTGAAAGGTTGTCCCACAAAAGCGTATGAGCGTACGCGACGATGTCGAAAGGTATTATGGGTACTGGTGGCTTAAGGTGTCTTGATTGAAGCTGCAAAGTGTTTCAGCGTGATAGAAAGAAACAACACAAGCATGTGTACTCATGCTTCCCTTTCCTTCTTTCTGAAACACCAAGAACCTAAATTAAGTAACGATAAACCGGGCATTGTGGTGTATGCTTAAGTTTTGTAGGACAACCTTTGTTGAAACAGCTGTATGCAATATGCGTGCCACCGTGGATTTGAGATCCTGCCCTGTTTAGGACAATTTTGATAATCTGTTGACAGGTTTGGTGTGTGTTGCAAGAATGAGAAGGGGAAGTGCAATGGTGGTGAAGGGCCAAATGTCGAAAAGCCTGTTGAGGAATAGAAATGAAAAAAACAAGGGTTTTACAATTGCCTGTTAAAGATTTAATGCAGGAAATTTGAGAGGACATCTTATACTTTGATCCAAAACCTTTTCAAGATTTTCAAGATTGAAGGATTTCAAAATGAGACCGGCCAGTATTAGTGCACAGAGCACTTGAAGATTGGTCTGAAAGTCGACAGATGAGATATGTTTCTGTGTTTGCAATGCCCGTGAAATGAAATTACGGAACGCATTTTAGTGTTACAATTCCATACGTGCAAATCTGCAACTGGGAAGAGAATTAAACCACCGCAAACGAAGTTGACAATGACTGATATAATTTCATGAAACAAATAATTATCATTTACGGCCATTCTCGCTCATACTTTAGATTGATTTAGAACTATATTTCTCCATCTTTGCAAAGAATATTAGCTATCAAATATTCGGCTCAATGTTTTTGCTTTTCCTGCTAAGATTTGCCTTGTCCCTTGGAGTTTTCCCTTGGGGGATTAACAAAACATTTGATTGACATGTTAGCATTCCAATCCAATGAGAACAGCCCATACTCCAGCATACAGGAATGATAAAAATGGCAGGAAATCAGGGCTGGAGATTTTTCGTTTCTCCAATCAGGCTTCTCGTGGCGTCACCACTCTCACCGCTTGCTTGCATGTTCTACCCAAACTAAACCGTCAGCTATGCAGGCTATATGTTATCCTTTGTCCACTTATTGTGCCAAGTTGGAAGAGCATTGATTGATAAAACAAAAGTTGTGTGTAGTAGTACAGCAAGCAAAAGAAAGGAGATTAGGTTATTAGAGTAAAAAGAAAGAAAGGAAAGAAGGCAAGCACCATATAGAGCCTGTGTACAAAGTCGGGTGTTATGGGGGGTTACCATTATCCAAACAAAGGCAATGGTATGGCCAAAGGACCATGAACTATATGTAAAAGATAACTAAAAAATCAACAAAATCATAATATTGTTAGGGAGTTCAGAATGCATGATGAGTAATTTAAAGTACAAAACAATAAATTATTAGCTGATCACTCTCATTGCAGAGGCAGTTGATGCCATAGTAACCTACAGCCATACTGCATCTCAGTTGTTGAGAAGGAAGAAAGTGAAAAGGGAACACATTTACCAATACTTGGCTGAAAATGGCATGATTGAGCCTGTTACGTCAGATAAGCCAAGTCTGATAAGAAAAGCAATGCTGTATTGGGGATCACCTCAACAGGTAAGTTGCACTTTCCTTTGTGTGTCAAGTGGATACCATTGGTTAACCAAATCCAGTAAGATTGATTTGATTCTCAAATAGATCGGACAAGGAAGAAAAGGAGGAGGAGAGACACATGTAGTTCTTGAGCTGCAATATTCAGCACCAGTGCACTCTCCCTGTTCCTTACTCTATCCTTCATATGTTTAGAATTCTCAACAGAAAACAACAAATCCAGTGGTAGATTTTCATTGGCTCCAGAGATACAAGTAGCAGTAATGGCCTATTCTGGCTTCACAAAAATTATACAAGACTTCAGTTTTCTTCTGTAGCTGCTTTTATAGCCACTTCATAAATAACAAATGCTATACAGAAGGTCTCTATTTGGCTATATGTGAAAGATTTTATTGTTAGGGAATGCTGATAAAATGCTGGAAGGATAGACTGTGATGGACTTGCAGGTCCTCATTAGGGATAGTTAAGTGGGGTCCGCTTAATATAGGTTTCACTGTACTTATTTATACTCCATAAATTTCTAAAACCAAGTTAAGGTGGCTTACTGCAGTTTTTCCCAGTATCAACAGTGCAAGCTTTGATTTTCTGCTTGTCGACAGTATTAGTCACATGGCAAAAATGACTCAAGTAACAATGAAAAAAAAGAAAACACCCCCAGCCCTTGAATTTTGTTATATGGTGGTTATTTCAAATTGCTTTAAGACATGTGTAAACCAATGAACAGAAAAAGAGATACGATAAAAAAGCAATAAACAACTTGTAAAAGAGTTCTAATTTAATTTGTCTTTTTTTGTTGCACTTGATTAATGGTGTCAGATAAGGAGGCACTTGAAAAAAAGACATGCACACTTTGATTCCCATCAGAGGTTGTAAAAACCTATCAATTTCTTATTCCTGAAATTTTGAGGTAGTGACTTGAGGGTAGATTTTATGAAAAAATGTCATTAGAACTACAAGTTTCCAGTCCTTTTATGTATTATTTGTATAATTTGTTCAAGTGTCTCATATAATGGTTCAAGACTGCAGAAAGAAGTAAAGTGGAATAAAATGTCACTAACTCAAATTAATGTCCAAAATGTGTTGGTGCTGCGGGCTTAGCTCTATGATATTTTTATGGAGGAGTTTTCCAAATAAATCTTTGAATTCCATTTTCAGGATAGTGACGATGAACCTGATCCCACAACAGAGGCCTTAAAACCCACTGCAGCAGTCTCAAGCAATGTAAATACCCCATCACTCGATAGCAACATTGACGGACAACAATTAGCACAATATTTTGTTCCCTGGTTCTACAAAATCCTGAACTCTTTCAATACGTCCCCGGATAACATAGCACAGGAATGGGGCCCACAACATTTTTGGGCTGATGCCAAAGGTTCGGTTCTTATGGTATCAGGTGGCCAAGTGCTGGATGAATTTCAAGGATCATTAGCAGTCAGTGAAAAGTTTCGAGAACTTGTGCGTAAAGAAAAACTTGTCTTCAATGCAAATGTAAGTGGAGCAAGGGGCCAAATAGATGCATATGGACTCGTCAAAATATCAGTCGGAGGCACAGTTCATAGATTTTCAGATTGCCTTGGAATTTTTGAGCAATCATTTGGACTTATTCGGGACCCGCAGATGGAGAATAACTGGAAAATAAAATTCACTGAGCTGAAATTAAAGGCACAGCAACACCATGAAGTTGAGGGTTATAGAAAAAAGGCTATAACATGAAATTACTGTAATGTGTCCCTTTTGAAAAATATTGTCAGAAAGTACACCTTTATGGCACATCATATGTGAATCTAAAATGTAATAATGAACTATTAATTTACAGAAGGTGTATTCACAGAAAACTGGCCTGAGTTCCTTGAGAAAAAATTTCATTAGAACTAGAAGTTTCCTGGCCTAAGTTCCTTGACAAAATATTGCACTCCAGATTTTGCAATTTAAAATGTTTGAATGACCCCTCTACCCTTCCCTCTGGTCATGGAGGCTGGATCATTAGCTCTTGTGGCTCACAACCCAGTTTTGGGACTTTTTTCTCTTCAGTCTATTAAAGACGTTTCACTGATCAGGAAAGAGATGCAATAGTTAATTATATGTAAAACAGTAAGTAAAGTTACAAATACTTCTGGCGAAAGAGATGTTAATAAGCCATTTCCGAGTTGCTTTTTACCTCTGTTTCAAAACGAGTGCTGGTGCACAACCTTTCATATGGAAATGAGTTTGATTTGCGAGACAATGAACATGCAAGAAAAACTCATTTCCATACGAAAGGTTGTGTGCCAAGAAACAGAGGTAACGGCAACTTGGAAATGCTCTATTACAATAACACCACACACAGCTGGACCCCTCTAATTCGAACTCAGTTATTTCAAATTCCCTGTTATTTTGAACTCAAAGCCATTTTCCTTGGATTTGCCCTTGATTTTTTTTTTTCATTCATTTACTATCGGCTATGTTAAACTCGTTTACTTTGAACTCCCAGCTATCTCAAACTGATTTTTGTTTCCCTTGGCATAAAATCAACCTGTTTATGACATCAGACCACATTAGAACATAACTAAAAAGCAACAATTTGGGCTTTTCGTTCCACTTTACTCTTGTACTGGAATGAATCTTTTTCCTTAGGTGTTTTCTTCTGGCCCTTGGTCAATTAAAAAATACATTCTATCATGATGCTGATTACATGCAAAAAATATCAATTATTGTTTTCATATTTAGTGTCGACCCAGTATTTTTGAACCTCTGCTGTTTCGAGCTATTTTTGTTTTCCTCTCAGAGTTTGAAATAGCAGGGTTCAACCAAATATATTTTTTATCAAATTTGCCAGTGTTCTCAGCTAGTTTTTTGTTTTGTTTTGTTTTGTTTTTACATTTTTACTCATCTTGACCAAACAAGCTTGGTCAATAAAGGATTTACCATGTGGTGCAAAGGGCACTATTTACTTGTGGGACACCACAGGTAGTCTCAACGATAAGAAAAGTACTAGCTTGTGGAGATAATCATATAAACCTATTTGCATGTTATGGTGGCTCACACTGGTTTCCAGCATTTTTCAGCTCATATTTTTTGATGAATAAATATTACCACTTTTTTTTAGTTGATGTAATAATACAGGTATTGAACAAATGCCCAAATTGTTATTGTGTAACAAATTATGTTCTTTTCCATGATGGAGGGCTACCATAGCAATGGTTAAGTTCATTAAAAACATCCTTAAAATTAATATTAGCTTTAAGTGGTCATTTTTCTTTTGATCAAATTGCAATTAGTCTGCAAAACACAAGTTTTTGCCAAGGTTAAAAAACTTAATGTGATGGAGCTAAGAGCCATTTTGATGTTTCAAAATCTTAAAGTGCACCTAACCCCAAAATTTTTCTTTCACTAAAACGAAGCTACTCATTATTTGAAGTACTTCTGCGAAAAAATGTTTGGATTCAGTTAAATCCTCCTAAACCTGCCCCAACAAATATTTTTTAAACTTTGCAAAAAGCTGAATTTTAACATGCTGATTACAGTTTGATAATGGCAATAGAAGACATATAACATGCACTACAGCTGCCTCCCCTTTCGAATCGATTGTCAGTGAAAATAGTTAACATTGCGTTATTTGATCGTCACGCAACGTTTGTCACGCCAATGGAAGCATTGCGTTAACTATCAAATCATTTTCTCAGCTCATGGTCTTTTAAGTCCTTTACCGTGCTTCAGCATCTTTGAGGATATCGAACTCAAGTCGAGGGTAATCCGGAAACTGCATCCAAAATCAGAGGTCATGCCTTTATAAGGAAAGGAAACTGGGTGACACACCCCATAACAAAAGGAAAGATAAACGCAAACGAATACTCTAAAACGGCGAATTAGGAAATTTCAACATTATTTTCTCCCTGAGTTTATATTTCGCAATTACAATCCTGTTAGATTTTACAGAATCGAAAATACTGTCTTGAAATTGCAATTTTGACCTTGACCAACTTTGATCGCTGATTTGCGTCAGAAATTAAAACGTAACGTGACGTGATGTGACACAAACAAACACAACAAATCGTACTTTTTAACTACGAAATGTACCAACCCAATTACTGACACATCATTCACGACCAAATAAAGGTGAAAACAAACAGTTTTGTCTGTCAAGGCTTAACGGAAATCAGCCAATCACATGTCGTTCCAAAAATAGTGCGGTCACCCTTTATATGAAATACGCGATGTGATTTATTCAAACATTTCAGCGCCAACACCATCGTGATCGACGAAGTTTGCGGCACGCCGATACATATAGCGATACTAGGAAAAATGCATCCGCCGTCGGCGTCTTTTCTTGGTGGACTTCGCATGTACAAGATTGTTTTGCTTGGCGAAGGAGGGGTGGGAAAATCAGGTCAGTTATATTATTACGTGCCACTACAGCGCTACGCCGACTCGTCGCCTAACCAAAGGAATTCACGAGCAAACATCCTGCAAACATCCATACTCGGAAACGATTTTGATCTTTTTACAGGAATCGCTTCCTGAATGAGTTTGCCTAGCGATCAGAAGTTTCAGTGATAATCTGTATTGCTGCTGGATTAGAGTAAGAGGCGTTTCCTTGGGAAATATAGCAAATGGAGTCGAAATCCAAAAGCACTGTTTGTTTGCCCTAGCGCCTTTCAGTTTGGTTAATTATAAAATGCTTGGAATACCTCACTTCTATAGCCTGTTTGTTTGCCGCAAACGTCTACATTCTGGTCGTGATTTTTTGTCTGTAGTTTACCGAGTCCTGCATTCTGACAATCCTGGTTTTATTACTGTTATTCGATGGAAAAACAACAACATCCACGGTGCAATGTTAATACTTGTATCATATACATGATCAATGAAGTGAAACATGTTGTGTTACTTGTGCTGCATTTGGAACCGAATCATAGAAAACGAAAAAATAACAACACTGAAAAAAAAAATCATTTAAAGTCAACGTTACGTCTATTTGTCACTCTGGCAAGAAAAAATTATAATTGAAAATTCTGCTACATCACTATCGGAATATTGTTTTGATCGAGTATCATTGTTTTGATGCTGGAACAATATCGCTTGTTTATTTCAGTGTTCCCGTGACGTCAACCTTCATTGAACTTAGCAGTTCTGTCTTTTTTTTTCTTTTTTGCAAGGATTTCGTTGTTCATATTTCATTCCCAAGTTTTCGATTGTAGCTTTTTGCTCAATTTAGTTTTGGGATTGTTATGTACAGGTAACAACATGAAGTTAATGTTTGCGCGCGTGTCGCGATGTTTCGCGCGTGATTCGACCGCCGTTTTAATATTTCTGATGATAAGTAATTTACAAACAGAAAGTGTGACAAGGTTATCAGATGCGTTCTGGCATGTTAGATCATATAATTAAAATCGAAATGGACGCAGAAACACATGAGGAAGTTTGTTTTTCATTTACTTGGGAGATGCAAGTAGCAACACTCTACTTCCTCAAAACGTTAAGTCTAGACTTCCTGGTTTCCACTCTTAATACTTGTATGCGGGACTGAGTTTCGCTGGAAATAATTATGGCTTTGCTATAAATTCATTTGAAAGTTTATTTAAACTTATTTTGAAATATTCTTGTTCGTGTTTCTGTTGATTGAGATGTCACTATAAAGAGGTGTTGATGTACAGAGCCACTGCTGCATTTTGTCAGAAGCGTTGTTATTGTAAAATATATAATTACATGCATCGTCTAGACAAAGGAAAGTCAGACAACGCATTTACCAAACTGAACCCAGTAACAGCCATTTAATTATAGTTAAGCAAACTATAAAGCATGAACGTTGATTTGCATCAATCACTGAGAGCTTTTAACCTTTTTTTTTCAATAACATTTTCAGTGTTAAGTTATGGTACAGCTTTTTTTTGTCAAGCTTTGCATCTGTATTTTCAATTCAGTCAGTTTACAAAGAATAGTTTACCCTTGGTGAAAACTGAAATGCACGAACTGTGAAGTACAAGGAAATATCCATACTTACCCCATGGAGGGTCATTGGGAATTCTGAGATATGAAGCTAAAGTGGAACTTCCAAACAAGTGGGGGGTTTCCAGCTAAACAACATTCCCTGGGGGGTATGGATCATATTTCCTCTAACAACACATTACTGATCTGAACTATTTTGCTTCTTCAGCTCTCACCATGCAGTTTGTGTCTCATTGCTTCTTGGATTATCACGATCCCACCATTGGTGAGTACAATTTCAGATACCAAACCGTGTGCTTACATAATTATGTTTACCTTTAGTAGCCAGCTGACCATAGGCTTTTGGGTAGAATTTTGTAAAGTGGGGATCATAGGGCTGCTGCACATTTGCAGAGAACATTTCCAAGCTGTTACCACTTATCATGAGCAGGACCTTGAAAAGTTAGAGGACTTATAGATAGTGAAATCTAATGATTTTTAATCTGCAAGTACACTAAAAGAGCGATATAGTGGTTAATGAATGCATCAAATTGAATGAAGCTGTGTTCACATTAGGCCGAAACATGATTAGTCTGATCACAGATGAAAAATGTTTTGTTATGAAAAGTGTTCACATCAGACAGTGCATTGCGCAAATCATGGTTGAAATGTGGTTATTCTGAGTATGACTGAAACAACCTTGCAAGGTAGTTTCAGTCATGATCAGACTAAACACGTTCAAAATGGCAGATGGATGCAGAGAGGAGGCGAGTGCGCAAAAGAACCAAAATTGGGGCTATTGTGAGGCCAAATGTCTAGTTGAAATATGGGCTGATGAAGAAATACAGTGGTAATTATCGGCGATGGGTATAAAGCAGAATATTTGGGAGTACATTGCCGCAAAACTTAGTGACAAATACAAGTACCATGAAACAGAATAAATTATACAACCATGCATGAAACTTGTTTGAAACAGACATCTGATGTGAACAATGCAATAACAAACATGTTTAGGCGAAACATGTTTCCTTGAAACATGTTTACTCTAATCATTTTCCGGCTTTAATGTGAACACAGCTTTAGTCTGAGAGATGTTCTCAAATTCTGTGAAATGTTTGTCTTGGAAGAATCACCAAAAAATAAAAAAATAATAATAATAAAGATGAAGTAAATTTAAAAAAAAGAATCACCAAAATGTTATTACAACCTTTAGTAATTAAGACAAAATCCGACAGGAAATCAAGCAGTTTCAGTTTTTAATGGACAACAACCTTGTACCAGAATAATGATTTTGCTTATGGTTTTAGAGGATGCATATCAGCGCCAAGCTGTCATAGATGGTGAGTCAGGACTCTTAGACATTTTGGATACAGCTGGACAGGTAAGAATAAAGTGTCTTTCAAAATCCATAATGGTATTTTTTCATTGAAGTAAGAACTGGCTGTTGATTATATTAATATGATTTGATTTTGATTATTTTATGTGCGCATTCTGCACATTATTATACAGTCAGGAGTTTGGCGTGAATTTAAAACTCAAAACAATGTAAAGTAGAAAAAGTGGCCTGTCTGAAAATAAATATTCTCAGCCTTGGCCAAAACTAACTTCAAAGCGAGCTGTAGAAGTCTCTAGAATACTACAAGGCCTGGGGATTGGACATAAGACCACTAATAGTACTCCAGGAAAACAACATTTACCGTTATGGACATGACAACATAAATTCATTTGCTGCTAATGGACCACAAATTGCCTATCACGGGAATGAGCAGTGGTAGCAAAACAATTATGATACTTACCACTACATGTATCCAAACTTAATGCTGTAACTTTATCTTGATTTTGTAGCAAGAGTTCACGGCCATGAGAGAACAATGCATGCGTAGTGGTGAAGGGTTTGTCATAATGTATTCTATCACAGACAGACAGAGTTTCCGTGAAGCTGCACAAGCTAAGAAACAAATTGAAAGAGTGAGAAGATCAGAGGAGATACCCGTGGTTCTTGTTGCTAACAAAATTGACTTGGAAAGCAAGAGGGTAGTAACAACTGAAGAGGGACAAGCTTTAGCACAGGAGTTTGACTGCCCATTTTTTGAAACCTCTGCTGCCCTGCGGCATTTTGTGGATGATGTATTCCACACTTTAGTCCGACAGATACGCAGGAAGGAAAGGCTGGGTATGAAGACAGCCCAAAAGAACAAAAAACTACGTCACAGGGCAAGCACCATTGTGCAGAACTTTTTCAGGCGTCAAAAGAAAAGAACATAAGAACAACAACAGTGGTGTACAAGAAGAGAACCTTTTTAGTCAGATCAGAGTGATCTCGTGAAACAGATTCTAGTTTAAGAGTGAGACATTTCATTGCTCTCTAAATCTTACAGTTTCTTTTCTTTTCAGTTGTCTCTAATAGACACAGACAATCTATTCTTTACAAAAAAATTCAAATTATATTATTATTAACAGTCTTCAGTTAAAAAACTTTAATGAAGATGTAGATTGCTTTAAAAAGCATCTAAGCCTTGTAGTCTTCAAGAAAAATACCAAAAACATAGATTCTTAGATTTTCTTGTTTTTTACAAGCTGTCTTGAATAAATTCAAGGGCTCAGAGTATAGTTATAGCATGCTTTTGCATAATCAATAAAAGAGGGGACGGAAAAAGGGGGAACCATCTTTTCCCTCTATTGCAGGGTCCACAATGTAGAGGTGAGGTTAATTATACTACCCAAGTTTTGTCAAGTAGAAAAATTGAGATTTATTATCGAACTTTGATTAGTTGTGATTTTGTACAAAGTAAATGAATCGAGTCACTGTCAGAGTCTTAGTTCATACATGGTCATGTAAGAATTAATATGCCTAGAGTGCATTTTAATTTATTTATACAGGTGTACTGTTTTCAGTTGTGTAAATAGGTGTTTAAAATTAGTATTGCTTTTTGTCTGAATGCAAGTGTAAGTAAGGACACTGCTTGTGATGTTTGAAAATTCTTGCACAAGCCTGTAGACAAGTGAAATTTGAAAGAAAATTCAAGTATCACAAGTAGTGTAAAAATCCTTAATTCGTCGAACTTTTCATGTGGTTACTCATTAATTTTATGTCTTGACTGATTAATTTGCATTGCAGCGCAAATTAATGTGCATGTGTTTGTATGATTAATTGGCCTGCTCTCAGCCAATCATGTTACTCCATTGTGATAGCTAGGCTGAAACAATGCAAATTTATCATTTCTGAACTTACACTGTAATGCAAAGTAATACAGGCACATTCATAATGTTCTTAGTCATATGGTAATTAGTAAACATTTGAGGGCTCTAGCAATTTTAGGATTTTACATACTACTTGTGATTTTTGGAAATTATTTCAAATTGTACTAGCGTATTAACGGCTTGTGTAATTTTGAGTGGATTTTCAAATATCACTTGTTAAGTGTAAATTAATGATTGTACTCACATTCATATGATTTCCTATACTAATTCACAATTCCAAAATGTGTTTTAAACTAGGTTAAGTGCATTAAATTAAATTGGTCACCTCTTTCTAAAGTTAATTCAGATTTAAGAGAGTGTTTCTCTCACTTACTCACTAAGACATCGAGGAAGCAATCACTGAAACCAATCAGGAAGAGGTGTTTATTTAAATTTGCCATGTTCCAAGAACTTAATTTTTGTAACAAATAATCTTTATTTATATCAAGCAGGAAAAATCCACTTTACCCCCTCTTTCTTTCATTGCTGTATATAGAAATTTTTGAGAAAGTTAATAGTAAGTAACATACGCTTTTTGTATTGCAGAAGCTGGTCCAGAGTAATAACGTAGTAGTGTTATCCTTGATCTGTACAATTTACAATGTAACGATAAAAGGCCGTAAGATTTTAAAAAGGACTGAGATTAAAGATGAAGTATGCTGATGGGTCCTACTGCGATTCATAATTAATGTGTTAAAGATCCAAGCAGTCAGTGTAAAATGCAGACGGTGGATTTCATAGCGGGGTAAAATGTAGACCGCACCCTGCATTTTACACCAACCAAGACCAGAGCAATATATGAAACCAAATGGGTACAAGTGGTATGAACTTGAATCTTTGTGGTCTCCAACACAAAAAATAGCATACCTCTATTACAAACAGAGCCAACCATTTAAGGAAGATACAAAATACTTCAATGCATGTGCAACCACAGGGAGCACACAATCTTGCTGAGTAGGAAGAGAGTAAATAAAGGAATGAAAAGAATGAATAGTTTATCTTTGTCTCCTGTTCTTACGTGACCTTACAGGGAAAACTGCTACCAGCAAAATTCTACCTGCAAGTCCTGCTTAAAACTGTAATGCTAAACTCGTGCCTAGGCCTTTTCGTGCTCTGCAAGAATTTTTTTGGCTTACATTGCTCACATGTAATATATAGATTTAGCCAAGCCTAAAAGCGGAGTTCTTGATTGCAATAACTGACGATAACGGAAAAAGAGTATTATTTTTTCTTGGATCAGAAACGCAACAAATGATCAATTGTGAGTACGTAATTGCTCAGCGTGTGGTTTTGCTATTTTTTCCAGTTAAATTTCAACAAACTATACCCAACAAAACTAACCAAGATTGTAGAAATTACGTACGCAATATATCAGGGACTTTCCAAGAGACGATTGTACAAGGAATATGTCAGAAGAATAGTCAACTACGCGCCAGGGATTAATTTGCACCGAAATTTTGCCTTTGCGAGTACTCCTTCCTTCTCCAATCAGTAACTGGTCAGTAACTGGTCAGTGGTCAACTTTAAAAAAACACGCAACCCCGATGAGATCTAAACCTGAACCCGCGATATGGTCGCATGATACTGGTCAGTGCATAGCTTGTTGTGACAGCTGCCAATTAACAAAATTGTAGAGCGTGAAAAGACCTAGGTACAAGTTTACGCAGGACTTGTAGGTAGCGGTTTTTCCTGTAAGGTCACGTAAGAAACGACAACAGGAGACAATAGTAAACTATTCAGTCATTCTTTTCATTCCTTTATTAACTCTCTTCCTACTCAGTAAGATTGTGTGTTCCCTGTGGTGCAACAACAAAGCTTGCTTATGCTCGAGGCACTGGCACACCGGTTGATACAGTAGCAGCCCAGGCATCATTACTTGCTACTTAAGGCCACAGTGGCTTTAACCAGCTTTAACTTAAAACCTGTTGTTTGCGTTCCCACATGAAGAGCTTTTCAGGCATTCTGGACCTGCTTCATCGATTTTTTTTTTTTTGCACTCGCTCCAATTTGCGCACAGCCGGATGATTCCTCAGAATTGCATTGCGCATCTCTACTGCCACGATTTTCGCGTCATTATGCTGCATTATGTACAAAATGGCGGCTTTTTCTAAACGACTTGGCTTCCAAGAGACAAATAATAGTATTTTCCTCGGAAACCAGTACCGGGACCTAACAATTTTTTTATTTAGTTCGAATGCAAAGATCACCTTCTGTCTATACAGTGATCATGGACCAACTTCAATGGCGGATCCAGACCTTGAGCTAAGGTGCGGTGGAGGGGGGGCAGGGTGGTTTTGTTTTGCTTGCCCTGCCGGCTTTTCTTCCTTTTGTGATTTCTTCTTTTTTACCCAAATGAGGGGGGGAGGGGGCGGACCCCCGGGTCCCTCCCCTAGATCTGCCACTGAATTTGTATTGCAGAGTAAAACATTATCACAGAAAATGAGAGCATAGCTAGCACTCTTAAAAGATCATACGGGGCCCCAGAACACTGCGTGCTTGGAACACATTGAATCCCTGTCGACTAAAAATGAGTGCCTTTGTCATGAAACGTACATCAAATTGCTCCTTAACATTGATGCAATACATCCATTGTTGTATTTCTCGCTTAACTTTCTCCCTATTTTTCTGCTCTCTTAAAGCGTAAGGTGAATGGTTCAAATATAAACGTTTCTGAAAGCAGATAATTTCAGGAATTATGGGGTTTATTGCTCCTAAACGAATACGGGGACCCTCCTTTTTAATTTGAAATTTTACGTTCTCTTGATATAAGCAGCCAACAGGTAAAGTTTGAAAGAAAATCTATTGCGAGTTCTATTTCGATGGAATTGCCTTAAACAGATAAAGAGAACTCAAATACCATCTGTTGCTGTGTGAAGCACTGAAATACAAACCATACATNGGGTTTATTGAAGGTCCTCCTGCTCCTAAACGAATATGGGGACCCCCCTTTTTTATTTCAAATTTTAAGTTCTCTTGATATAAGCAGCCAACAAGTAAAGTTTGAAAGAAAATCTATTGTGAGTTCTATTTCGGTGGAATTGCCACTCCTTCCTGAACAGCGGCTGGTAATCGAGACTACTCCGTATTAAGTACAGTAGTATATTTTAGGGGTCAAATAAAGCTCAAGCCACACCTGCATTAGAATCCTTTGGGGGTTTAATTAATATCTTCCGATGAGCATGCCCGACCTTTTAATATGGGAGTTCCCAACCCGGGTGAAAATCCCTCGCGATGCGGCGCGTGAAATAACGCAACGGTGAAGCGTGAGTCTGACGCACTGAAGGATCAATTGCCCACGCTTAGCTCATAAATCCGAATTCCAGGAAAAAAATTGATCTATAATTCTAATTGTCTACTTGACTTCTTTGAATCTTGAAAATCGTGCCGAATTTATTGTTTGATTGGTCCGTGAACTCTGTTCTTCGGAAAGTAGAGCTGCTATCGGGCATCCCTGACAATGCTGAGAAACCATCAGGACATCTTCAGAACAACTCAGCACTCTGAAAATGAAAGTCTTACGCAAAGGGCCCAGAGAAATTCTGCAGGTCGGCTTACTCTATTTTCTTTTCTTTTCTTTTCTTTTCTTTTGCTTTTTGTTTTTGTTTTTGTTTTGTTTTTTTCAGTGGAACCCAGCCTTACGGTCACCTCGTTAATATGGTCACCTCGTTATTACGGCTACTTTTTTTTGTCCTGGCGAAACGCCCATACATTTTCTAATAAGAAAACTCCGTTCATACGGCCAACGGCCACACTCTAAAATTCCAACCTGTTTAGTCCCATATAATCTTACCCCGTTTATACGGCCACTCGAACCAGTTACGTTCATCTTTCCAATGTTGACATTGTATGACTGATTGAATTTTCATTTTTTTTTTTTTAATTATAACTGCATTTGCGATGCTTATAGATGAACAGTTGTTTAGAATTCTTAGAAGTGCCATTGTGATTAAAAGACGTCACTCAGTTTACACAAGTCATGAAATTTGACCCTACCCCATTACTGCGGTCAAATTTCCATGGCCCATTGGCAACCGTATAAACGGGGTTCCACTGCATGTCGTTTACCTTTTTGGGGGGGGGGGCGCCCAAAGATCACGTGGCGGGAGACTGTTAGAAAGGACTGAAGCGTATGGGAAAGACCAGGAGCAGCATTCAAATCAGGGGCATCAGTGAGAGATTGAGTGACCTTTTGAGAGATGGAATGGGGTAACGGACTGCACAGATGGCAACCTACAAGTTTAAAGACAAAACTTTGTTTAAAAGCCTACACGCGCTGAACGAAGCCCACGTATAGTAAGCGGCCTCCGTAAAGTGAGCGAGCACACATGCGCAAATGAAGCAAACGAGCGCCGAATTGTTCGCAATTTCACACGTAGATACGAAACACACGAGCAGAGCAGCCAATATTTTCCTTAATATTTTCCCTTTTCTCAATCGTACACCACCCAGAATAATCATTTTAGTCGATTTGTGAGGCGGAGCGCTAATTCACTCGATGTGCTGATTGGCCGGCGTCTTACTCATAAATAGGTCACGCACACAGCAGTATTCAAAGCTTATATTACAGTAGTCTCCTCCGCGGCCGTTTTTTGGAATGTCACGCAACGCTCCCCCCAAAGAAACCTTGCGCTGCGTGACATCCCAAAAAAAGGCTGCGGAGGAGACTAATATTGCAGATATCATTCCCAATTTCCAATAATTACCGCTCTGAAATATCCTTTGTTGAATCTCTTCACTGAAGCTATACTCATTTTTTTCCTTTTCGATTTAACGGCTTTTTTAACCGGTTTCAAGTTTCTTGAAAATCGAGATTCGACGTGTCACGAGCAGTGTAACGCATAAGTCATCCCAGTCTCAAACTTCTCGCTAAACTGAGCCCGCGGATTATTCGATAGAGTCCTAAAGTGATGACGTCACAAAAATAAAAATTTTGAAATTATGGGATATGATGTCATATTCTTATAGAGGATCTTAAAAGATGCCCTCATTCCAAAAATTAGCTCTGAATTGCAATTTCCGATAGAGATATAAGGGATCAAAGTTTGATAGCATCCCATACCAACCCTTCAAAATTTGTCTCAGTTCCTTCAGTTTAGAACTGACTCAAAATTAGAGAGATTTATATGGGGCAGTACCAAATTTTCATCCTTTATATTTCGGCTGGGAATTACAA